CGATGGTCTCGATCTCCTGACCTCGTGATCCGCCCGTCTCGGCCTCCCAAAGTGCTGGGATTACAGGCTCGAGCCACTGTGCCCGGCCCACTTTTCTAATTTTTTATTTCCAATTTTGCTGAATTCCAGAAAAACACGTACCACTTTAGAGCAATGCTAACAACTGATATCTCCAGGTGAAGGTTATATGGGGTTCACTGTTATATATACATATATATGTGTAATTTTTTTTTTTTTTTTTTGAGGCAGAATCTCTCTCTGTCATCCAGGCTGGAATGCAATGGTGTGATCTCGGCTCACTGCATCCTCCGTCTCCCAGGTTCAAGCCATTCTCCTGCCTCAGCCTCCTAAGTAACTGGAATTGCAGGCATGCACCACCATTCCTGGCTAATTTTTGTATTTTTAATAGAGTCAGGGTTTTATCATGTTGACCAGGCTGGTCTTGAACTCCTGACCTCAGGAGATCCGCCTGCCTTGGCCTCTCAAAATGCTGGGATTATAGGTGTGAGCCACCATGCCCAGGTAGGTTTCACTTTTTAAAAATTTGTTGTTTTAACTTCTCTGTAGATTTGCAAATTTTCAAAATTAAAAAAAAAAATTAAAAAGGCTGGACATAGTGGCTCACACCTGGAATCTCAGCATTTTGGGAGACAGAAGTGATTGGATCGTTTGAGCCTAGGAATTCAAGACGAGCCTGGACAACGCAGCGAAACCCCATCTCTACAAAAAAAAAAAAAAAAAAAAAATTAAAAATTAGTCGGGTGTGGTGGCTGACACCTGTAGTCCCAGTTACTTGGGAGGCTGAGCCTGGAGGAATTCTTGAGCCCAGGAGCTCAAGGCTGCAGTGAGCAGTGATCACACCACTGTGCTCTAGCCTTGGCGAAAGAGTGAGACCTTGTCTCAAAAAAAGAAAAGAAAAGAAACAGAATTTTGATGGCAAATATGAAAATAATCAAGTGTAACGGAGTATTTTTCTCACAGGAGAGGCCAGGAGGGGACCGCTGAGAAGAGGTATGGTGCCTGCAGGTGCTCAGGGCATCCAGGAGGGGGCAGCAGAGTCCAGGTTCTGTCTCAGGGTAGGCTTTGAAGCCGGTGGCTGGTGGGAGAGACCTTCGAGAATATGGGGAATCCTGAGCGGCATGGCTGGAATCATAATAATTTTTAAAAAGCGTCCTAGGAATATTAAGGACAGCGATGAAAGAGGCTTTAGAAACCTAGTGCTTATTCGGCAAAAAGCAAGACTGAGTCCAAATAGATTTTTCCCAGATTTAACCTAAGGGAATTCATGAGAAAGCTGAAAATAGAGCTCAGGTCTCTATCTCTTTAGATGCATGGAAAGAAATATCAGCCCATTTTCAGAAGGAGAGCTTGGAAAGTTTGGTTTTCTTTGGTAGGAAATGAGTGTCTCTCTCTCTCTCTCTGTGTGTGTGTGTGTGTGTGTGTGTGTGTGTGTCTGTCTGTCTGTCTGTCTGCCTTGCCTCCTGGACACCAGCAAATGGTGTCAGTGGAGTTCAGGGAATGGTCCTCTTCCCACTGCAAATCTGTGTCTTGTTATCTTGAACCCCAAATGCATCAGATTTTATGTTCTAGAGGAAGGGAGGAGAGAGAGAGTCTGGGAGGTTAGAAACAGGAGCTATGGGAAATAGGAGGGAAAGATCTGGGAACCATGAAAATTTTAATAAAATTGCTTTATTATATTTAGTTACTACAAATATATATTATAATATTTACTAAGGAAAAAATCAGAACTCATAAAAATAAGAACTTAAAAAATGCCCACAATCTTATATACCAAAGGTAAATGCTCTATATTTAAACACAAGTGTTTTTCATGAAGATGGCATTCAATAATTCTTAGGAGAGCATTTTGTGAAATGTAAAGTGCATGCAGCAGTCCCGTGTCCAAGGGGTCACGGTTGTAAACAGCTCATTGAGGGCGCTGTCCATGGTACTGGATCCGGGCAGGCGAGAGGGGGAACCTCTTTGACCTTGTTTGGAAGTTCTAGCAGGGAAGTCCAGATACTTGTATGCCTTTGACTGAAGCGTGGTCCTCCTCTATCAGAGAGGGTCGTCCTCTCGTCCTCTTCAACTGAGCATGCAGCTTTAGGAGGGACATACATGGGGCAGCGAGGGAGGACGGGGACACCCGCCTACCCAGCCAGATCAGTCAAATCAATCCTGGCGATCAATGGGGTGACATGTTGCAGTCAGAGCACCCCTCAAATCTGGAACCTCTTTGAAAACTGAGCAGGAAAGCCTAGCCTGATATCAAGGCAAGCCCATTGGAGCTTCCACGGGTTTCTATTTGAGACTCTCCCAGCACTGCCATCTCTCTCCTCTTTCTCCTTGGTAAGTACAGTGCTTGTTTCCTGTACTTACAATGGGAACATTGAGTTCCCATGGAAGGCTCTCAATGGGGAAATGCTCCACCAAGCTTAGCCGGACTGGAATCTCCTCACTCCCAGACTTCTCAACTCCATGCCTTAAAATGATGTCTTTACCTGAGGCCTCTGAATTTGGATCTGAAAAGAGAGATAAAACCAGGTGAAGGCTCAGCTCATGAGGAATTTGGGATTTTGGAAGCATAAGGAGGCTTGGGATGGGAAGTGTTCGGTTTAATTATTTTTATTTTTAAATTTTTTTGAGACAGGCTTAATCTGCCATCTAGACTGGAGTGCAGTGGCACAATCACGGCTCACTGCGGCCTGTAACTTCTGGGCTCCAGCGATCCTCCCACCTCAGCCTCCCAAGTAGCTGGGACTACATGTGCACACAACCACACCTGAATAATTTTTAAATTTTTTGTAGAGATGAGGTTTCGCTATGTTGCCCAGGGTGGTCTCAAACTCCTGGGCTCAAGTGATCCATCTACCTCGACCTCCCAAAGTGCTGGGATTACAGGCGTGAGCCACTGTGCCCGGCTATTATTATTATTTCTTTTACAGCGACAGAGTCTCACTTTGTTGCCCAGGCTGGTCCCAAACTCCTGACTTCAGACGATCTTCCTGACTTGGCCTCACGAAGTGCTGGGATTGCAGGCATGAGCCACCGCACCTGGCCTAGGTGGTTAGTTTAGAACTTGTCCCATTACCTGGATTCTAGCACAAACCAATTGTGCCTTCCCCTCTCCACCAGGTAGGTTTACAGGTATCCTGGCTGGAGATTTCATCTTTGCCCCAAAGGGCTATGTCAAGGGAGCATAGCACCTGAAGATGTTCACACTTGTTATTTCTCCTACCTTCAACTATCCATCCAGTTTAAATCATATTAAGGCAGTGATCAAGGAGTGGTCACCTTTTGCCCAAGTAACCAATCTTGGCCTTAACCATGGGGGGACAATCTGATGTTATATACTTGTTGAAGTGAGGCAATAGCATTATCTGTGATATAATAAAAATGTTTAATCTGATTCCAGTTAAGCCTTTAGACCCAACCTCCAGTATTTCCAATCCCAGAATATCTCTAATACCTCTGATACTAAGGGTAGGGGGGACAAGTTAGATGACATCATGAAACAAACCAGGGGTGTGAGACATTTTTCAAGACAACCATCCTAGACTCTTAAGAAAAGCAATATACTTTAAAATGTAGGAGCCCATTCTAGATTAAAAGACCAAAGAGACATAACAGAAGTCAGTGAGTGAGATCTGTTGTATCTACATCTGAGGAAAAAAAAAAACTAGTAATAGAAGATGTCCTTGGGCTAATTGGAAAAATTGGATATCCGATGATATTGTGAAGTTACGATCAACGTATTGGATATAATCGTGGTATTGGGAAGTGTGGGCTGAAATGGTTAGGGATCAAGTGTCATAATGTTGGCAGCTGACTTCCAAATTATTCAGCAAAAATCAGTGAATAGATCAATACAAAGAAAGAGACATATGGCATGTTAAGCCTTACTGAGCTGCATGGAATATGTAAGTATTTACTGCACTACTATTTTGACTTTTATGTGTGTTTACAAATTAAAATAACTAAGTAAGTTGGCCATCAAGGGTGTACTTACAGTAGGGAAGGAAACCTCAGAATCTGAAGCCTCAGGGGTCAACGGAAGGTGATTCCACCTTGCTACTTAGCTTTTATTCTTCCCCTGAGTTAGGCTTGTTTCCTGGCAGTATGGACCTGGGAGGATCACCTGGACCAATAAACTGTAAACATGGTTTTGCTTTCCTGAAGGTCCTACCATGCAGGAAAGGAGAAGAAAGTCTCAAGGTTGGGGGAGGCCAGCATCCCATCCAGGCCCTTCTTACCTTTGTTTCAGGGTCTATGTGTCTCAAGGAGGGCTGGAAATTACTATAGATGGATTCCAGGTGGATGGAGTCATCATCTTCTAGAGGGATGGAAAGCACCATGGAAACAGGAGGTTAGAAGGACAAACTTTCATCTCTCCCTTTAATCCCATCCAATGGAGGATGAGTTTGTCCCTACCCCTAGGAAACTGAAAACTCTTGAAAATGTGACAAACTGTCAACACTACCTGACTCAGCAGCTCCCAATACAGACATATTAAGGCTATGAATTTTCTGAGTACAGCTGTAGCTGCATCCCGCGAGTCTGAATACTAAGTATTTTCTCACTTTCACTATAATCTCTTATCTGATCCATACATTATTTGGAAACTTGAAAAAAAATTCCAAAGATATGGGATTTTTGTTTTCATTTTCCAAAAATATTTTTGTTACTGATTTCTAACATACTTGCATTATGGTCAGATAAGATCGTCTGATTTAAATAATTTTTTATAAGTTTGTTGAGGCTTTTTTCACGTCCTGTGTGTGGCCATCCTTAGAAGTTTTCTCGTGGACTCATGTAATAAATGAATACCCTCTATTTGTTGAATGTGGTGTTCTGTATTATATTAAGGCTAATTATTTTGTCCAAAAGTTCTGTAATCCTCAGTGACTTCTGTCAATTACTAAGAGGGGTGTTTTAAAAATTTCTCACCGTGCTGGTGGATTTGTTAATTTTCCTTTGTAGCTTTGTCAGTTTTTGCTTTATCTATTTTGAGATTGTATTAATAGAGCATACAAATTAGACTTGTGTCTAACAGAGTAAGCCATTTGCTAATATTGATCATTTTTATACCTAGTAATTCTTTTTGCTTTAAAATGTATGTGACTGCAATGAGTAAAGCTATACACAAAACAACAGATACTTTGTTTAGTATTACTCTGATTTGTCTTTTTTATACTTTTGTTTCCAACCTGTGTGTTTCCAATTTACCCACAGTTTCCAATTCACCCACAGTGAATACCTAGTTTTCTTTTTTAAAAAATCCTTTTTAAACTAGAGTTTAATCTACTTATATGTATTATGCTTTGTGATATATTTGCATTACTTCCTATCATTTTATTTTGGATTTTCTTTTTTTTTTTTGAGATGGAGTCTTGCTCTGTCACCCAGGCTGGAGTTAAGTGGCGTGATCTCGGCTCACTGCAAGCTCCACCTGCCGGGTTCATGCCATTCTCCTGCCTCAGCCTCCCGAGTAGCTGGGACTACAGGCGCCCACCACCACGCCTGGCTAATTTTTTTTCTTATCTTTAGTAGAGACAGGGTTTCACTGTGTTAGCCAGGATGGTCTCAATCTTCTGACCTCATGATCCACCTGCCTCAGCCTCCCAAAGTGCTGGGATTACAGGGTGAGCCACTGCGCCCGGCCACTATTTGTATTTTCTATGTGTCCTATCTCCTCTTCTTCTTCCCCTTCCTCCTTCTCCTCCTCCTCCTCCTCTTCCTCTTCCTCCTTCTTCTTCGACAGAATCTTGCTCTGTTGCCCCGGCTGGAGTGCAGTGGTGCAATTTCAGCTCACTGCAGCCTGCACCTCCCAGGTTCCAGCGATTCTCCTGCCTCAGCCTCCCAGGTAGTTGGGATTACAGGCACACGCCACCACACCCAGCTAATTTTTGTATTTTTAGTAGAGACAGGGTTTTACCATGTTGGCCAGGCTGGGCTCCTGACCTCAGGTGACCCACTAGCCTCAGCCTCCCAAAGTGCTAGGATTACAGGCATGAGCCACCATGCCCCGCCTTCTTCTTCTTCTTTTCTTTTCTCTCTCTCTTTTTTTTTTTTTTTTAAGAGACAGGGTCTTGCTCTGTTGCCCAGGCTAGAGTGCAGTGGTGTAATCATAACTCACTGCAGCTTTGACCTCCTGGGCTCAAGTGATCCTCCTGACTCAGAAGCTAGGATTATAGGCATGCACCACTGTGCCTGGCTAATTTTTTTAATTTTTTGATCTCGTTATGTTGCCCAGGCTGGTCTTGCCTGGCCTCAAGCGATCCTCCAGCCTCGGCCTCCCAAAGCGTTGGGACTATAAGCATGAGCCACTGCATCCCACCTCCTTTTTCTTTTTCTCCCTTTCCTGCTCTTTGTGGGTTGACTGGACTTTTTCCTCATTCTAATCTTCCCCTTCTTTAGAATTTAAAGACTATTTTGAGAAATTTCTCATTCCACATATTTCCTTCTTTAGAAGTTAAAGACTCTAGTTTTAGAAATTTTAACACGTGCCTTTAACCTAGCAAAATCTAACATTAGTCTCTTTACTGAGGAACAACTCCCCTGCTAATGAGCTCACCCACTCCTGAGCACTGATCTGTGCATTAGGGAAATCTACCACCCTCAAGGAACCTGTGTCTCCCCAGTGGTTCAGTTCACTATGCCCCATCCAGGGTCTCACAAGAGTCAGTAATGGAAATAAGGTTTTAGCTGTAGAGCCAAACATTTTGGAGTGGGAAACATTTTCCCCCTTCACACTTTAAGCCCCAGGGTCTTCCCAGGTGCCTCCTAAGTACCTTTTTTTTTTTTTTTTAAAGACAGTGTCTTGTTCTGTTGCCCAGGCCGGAGTGCAGTGGTGCAATCATGGCTCACTGCAGCCTCCATCTCCCAGGCTCAAGCAATTCTCCTGCCTTAGCCTCCCGAGTAGCTGGGACTAGAGGTGCATGCCACCACGCCCAGATAATTAAAGCAATTTTTATTTTTTATTTTTTTGAGATGGAGTTTCATGCTTGTTGCCCAGGCTGGAGTGCAATGGCATAATCTCGGCTAACTGCAATCTCTGCCTCCCGGGTTCAAGTGATTCTCCTGCCTCAGCCTCCCGAGTAGCTGGGATTACAGGCACCTGCCACGATGCTCAGCTAATTTTTTGTGTTTTCAGTAGAGACAGGGTTTCACTATGTGGTCCAGGCTGGTCTCAAGCTACTGACCTCAAGTGGTCCACCTGCCTCGGCCTCCCTTTTTCTTTTTTTTTTTAAAGAGATAGAGTTTGGCTGGGCGAGGCGGCTCATGCCTGTAATCCTAGCACTTTGGGAGGCCGAGGCGGGCGGATCACGAGGTCAGGAGATCGAGACCATCCTGGCTAACACGGTGAAACCCTGTCTCTACTAAAAATACAAAAAATTAGCTTGATCGTGGTGGCGGGCACCTGTAGTCCCAGCTACTCGGGAGGCTGAGGCAGGAGAATGGGGTGAACCCGGGAGGTGGAGCTTGCAGTGAGCTGAGACCGCGCCACTGCACTCCAGCCTGGGCGACAGAGCGAGACTCCATCTCAAAAAAAAAAAAAAAAAAAAAAAAAAAAAAGAGATAGAGTTTTCTGTGTTGTTGCCCAGGCTGATCTCGAGCTCCTGGCCTCAAGCAATCCTCCTCCTGCCTTGGCCTTTCAAAGTGCTGGGATTACAGGCACGAGCCCACAGCACCCAGCCTGTTTCCACATTTTGAGTCATTCTGAGTGCAGAGAGGAAGGCCGATACCTTGGCAGATGTCAAAGCCAATGTTTTGGAAGGTCCCAGGAGTTGGTCCACCGTTCTCTTCTTGCCACTTGTACCACTGAGACAATCTGTACTTTTGCCTATTGATGGAAACACCAGAGAGACCCCATTAGGATTGGGGAACAGGAACAAGGACTAGGGACAAATTGTATCCCCATTTTTAGCTTGCCCCACTGTCCACCTCGAGGGTGAAGTGATTAGAGGCAGAGGGATCAGAGGAAGAGGAGGAGCTGGAGGGAGTTGAAAGAGGAGGTGGTAGGGGCTTGCTCACCGTTTCACCTCTCTCTTGGAGTGGAAAACGAGCATCAGGAGAGCTACCAGGATGATTAGCACCAGCACGACCCCTGCCCCCACGAGGCCATACACTAGACTCTTCTGGGTGCCCTGGTTACAGTCCTCCCCACTGTACCAGTGAGTTTCCGTGGTCAGGCAGCTGAGATGGGAGAGAAGCGGCAGGTTGGGGAGAGAGAACAGAGTCAGCACCAGCTTCAGACCGGGGCCCTGTCCAGTGGGTGTTTAATGAAGAGGAGGTGAGAAGAGATTGCCAGGGTGCATAAAGCAAGGCGCCCTGAGGGGATGAACGGACATGAAGACCAGCATCCCTGGAGGTGGTCCTCAAATGAGCTCAGTTCCCACTCCAGGCTTTTAGGTTTTGCCTCCAGTTGCAACCCAGGACCTAGGACAGCTGGCCCAACCGTGGGTCTTCCCTGGGCTGCACCCCCAGGGACTCCAGGACCCCACAGTGATCTTGCATCCACCCATTAACCATCCTCACTTCCAGCCCTCCTCTCTGTCAGGAAAGCCAGGTTGCAGCCCTGATCCAGAGCTCCCGTTACACCCCTGAAGCTCTTCCTCCCTGCTGCCTTGAGATGCCCTCTCTAAACCCTGTTCCTTTCTTCCCCCTTCCAGCTTGTGACCCCCTCTTCCAGGAAGCTTTCCAAAACTGACTACTCAGGTCTTTGCCCACATGTGGCTTCTTCCCGCACCTGATGCTTCATCTGGTCTCTCTCTTTGGTTCTGTTTCAAGTGGCAACGTTTTTCTTTGCTTTCCTACCTCTGTGACTGGGCTAGAGGGGTTCTGCCCACTCCTCATGTGGGTGTGTAACCTTCTGTTTCTATTTCACCAGAAGAGGGTCTTGTTCTCTCTCTGGAGAGAGAGCAAGGCTGTGTCTCTGTTCCCCCTGTCAGACAACCTTCCCAGGAGGTTCTTACTGTCCTCAGCCCTCCTTAGCACAGACAGGACACGGCTAGGCTGTTCTGGACATAGCCTTGGAGCTCAACTACTCATGTTTTACCCCCATCCCCAACCCAATTCCTCTGCAGCTGGACACATTCAGGAGACACTAGTCCCATGACCTTGGCCTCCAGGCAATGCCTGGGGTGAAGCCCTGCAGGGGAGGGGAGGACCAGGACATCTGGGCTGGGCTGGAGGAAATGGGGGAGCACTCACAGGCACCGGGCTCCATTTTTAGACATCTGGCACTTGCCATGGTTACAGTTCTTGGAGGCTTTGAAGCCAGACACACAGGGGCTGATGCAGTATGGTTTCTGGTCCTGGTACTCCACTAGGAAGTAGTCTCCATATTCCTTGGCCTTCTGCCGGCATTCCTCTGGTGGAGGGGTGCAGGGATGGGGAGCAACCATGATCAGGGGGCTGGGGGGGCACTGTCCCGCTCCTCCTGGGCTCCACACCTCTCCAGCCTTCCCCCAAACCCCTTGTGTTATCACCTACCTACAGGGTCGTACTGGGTCACTGTAATGTTTTGCACTTGGGTGCCAGTGGTGTTGAAACACATCAAGGCTGTGAAAGAGACACATAAAACCCCTCATGACACATACATGCTTGTTCTGCATCCTCAGGGAGCTGAGGTGTGTGTGTGTGTGAGAAGGGGGTGGGCTGTGATGGGGAGGTGGGAATCTGGCCCTGGCAGAGGAGCAGCATCAGCCTTGCGTCCTATGACCCTCCAAGTGTCCTGAGCCTTTTTGTCCCATGCCTCCCTTTTCTCCTTCCTTCCTTCCTTCCTTCCTTCCTTCCTTCCTTCCTTCCTTCCTTCCTTCCTTCCTTCCTTCCTTCCTTCCCTCCTTCCCTCCCTCCCTCCTTCCTTCCCTTCTTTCTTTCTTTCTTTCTTTCTTTCTTTCTTTCTTTCTTTCTTTCTTTCTTTCTTTCTTTCTTTCTTTCTTTCTTTCTTTCTTTCTTTCTTTCTTTC